ATGAAACTATTAGAATAGTTTTTTACATTTTAGAATGGGGTGCCTCAAGCCTGTCCATGATTTTAAAGGGTGCCTTGGGACTGTCCATAATTTTAAAGGGTGGCTTGACTGAAAAAAGGTTGAGAAACACTGCTCTAGGGTCATGTACCCAGCGTCTTTCAACCCAGAAGGCTGAGGACAGAATATCATGGCTCTACGCTCTGAGGGGGCATCACTACATCAACCTTAATTCATAGTGTATTGATGCAGATTGACATAGTCCTGCTCTCTGTATTTTAGGGAAGTTCCCACTGATGAAGAGGATTGAAAGAGGAAAAAATGCTTGCATGTTACGTAACCAGTCAGAAGACATAAAAAATTGTAATATAATAAAAAAAAATTAAAATACACAGAAAAAACCTTTAGTGGAGAGGGAGCATGGAGCCCAGAGTTGGGCTTTAGGTATCAAATACCTCAAAAGGCATATATACTAATTAGCTTTTAAGTAACTCACTAGATATCTACATTTGTGTGACTCATCTCTGTTGAAGCTTTATGAAGAAATAGGTCTCGTTTGGTTTTATACCTGTTTTAGAGTAGGGGAAGGTGAAAGTTGCCAGAGTGTGAACAATGAGTTTCATAATGGCCACCCTAAAACGGGGCTATAAAGTTCCTTTCTAGGGTAAGATATATTGATGCTATAATGCCATTATTCCACTCCATCACTTTTAAACATTACTTCAATTATGTGCAAGTTAAATATAGCCCTGTGTAAAAACAGGAAGGACAGCGCGAAGTTGTCCGGTTTAACAACTCACACTTAAAGCATAATAAAACACTTGTTACTGTACTTTATGGTACGGAAATTCCAAATGTAAAGATATATTAAGGAAATATCTCAGAGTTATTAGAGAAGGGTATTTACATTTACAGATTGCTCTATATTATGCCTTTATGAACAGCTCAAGACGTAAAATAGCCCTCACCTGCAAGGATTGAAGAGGAAGGTAATTTTGCTTAATACGGGTGATAAAATTAATCTGATTGAAATCGCCTGCGATTATTCTGTAGAATATTCAGTGCCGGTACAATCATTTACACTTTTTTTTATATTTTTAGTCAAGCCTCGTGCAGATGAAAGCTAATTACAAAGTAGTGATGTGAAACGTTAAGGAAATAGTTTGTATAGCACAGAGCAGGCTCGGCTAATTGGGATTTGTGATTACACGGATTGTTGTTAGGAGAATTAACTATCAGCAACCTCTCCAGCAAAGCCCCTTCATCAAGAGAAAAGCAAAAATAGACGCCAGGCCTGTTATTTATCTAATTACACTGGGAACATTTTTTTTCCGAGTAGGTTAAAAAATAAGCTTTCATAGCTTTTATAATACACACTTTCTTTTCTTTTTTTTTTTCATTCTCTCAGGAGACAGAGGGCTAGATAAAATATGCTTGTTGTTGTCATTTTGTAATCAGTGGAGTGAACTTGTAGAAAGAGGGGGTAGTGTATAATCTAGAAAGTGAATGTCATTAGAACAGAATTATTCAATTCACAGAAGACAACTATCATAAACTAATGGAGTAGAACATGTAACCAGTGTACCCATTTAGCACTGCCAATACATGGCATATGACAAGTGACACTATGCCATGTGATTCTCTCTAACAACCTGTGTTTTAACTTAGTAGGCCATGATATATAATTTAACAAGAAGCTAGATGCCTATAGGCCAAAACTTGACTGTATTTAATATATATATTTTTCTAGGGGAACGACTCAGGTTTACCAACCACCTATTACTATTTTATTACTGTACAAATGGTTAGATAAGGAGTATATGCAGAGACCAACTAATCATGAAGTCATTCACAGATTTAACACCCTGATGACATAAAGGACGAAACGCGTTGCACACAAACACACATTGCAGTATATAAAATCAGCTGTATCCATAATCCAGAATGAGGGAGAGGCTGATAGAAAAAAGAGAGGATCCCATATGAATCTGTTGAAATAAGCCACATCAGGCTTGTGTTTCCCCAGTGACCATAGATCCAAATAGAGGTGGATGGGCAAAGTGTTTTGATTTTGGAACATTATGTAATTTTATGATAATGTAAGGGTTCAGAGAACTGAAGGGAAGTTCCTTAAGTTTGGCCTGCAGAAATGCAGGGCTGCTCAGGCAATTAGACTGTGGTATGGTGCTGGAAGTTTGAGCTGTGGTCTTAAAGTGATATTAAAGGCAATTAAAAAAAATAACAAACATGTTATACTTACCTACCCCTCCCCCCTGTTTAGTGCCCCCAGAGCAAGCAGCCTGCTATGGGGACACCCAAGTAGGCTCACCCCTGAGCCACATGCTCTGCATGTCCATTCACACACAGAGTTTTTTCAGCCCTGCACCCTCTCTCTCCTCATTGGCTCACCTGTTGGTATTGACAGTATATGGAGCCAATGGCACCAGCTGTTTCAGCCAAAGAGAAGGAGGGAGAGTCCCCAGAGAACCAAGGCTTTCGTGCACATCACTGGATCGTGATGGGGCTCAGGTAAGTATTAGGGGGGCTGAGGGGGGTACTGCACACAGAAGGTTTTTTTTTACCATCATGAATAGAATGCATGATGGTAAAAAACCTTGAGCCTTTACAACCACTCTAAAATATTTTAGCACTGCCAATGCATGGCATGCCATCTTTATGAGACATGCCAATGCATAGCTTGAGCTGCAATCATAAAATATCTATCAAGTGAAATTATGTTTTAATAACAGACTTCACAGCAGTATTGATTTAAGCAGGGATATTGATATTCTATAGTATATTTATGTGGGAATGTGTGATGAGACAACATTGTCCATTTTTTTAGATGATGGTGTGTTTTATATGGCTTTGTAGGATGAATACCTACTAAAAATAAAATGAGTTGTCACTGAAGACCCATTATACCAATTATTATCTTGTACTTTTTGTGATTACATTTGTGTTTGTGTCTGCACTATTAATAGGTAGCAGATGAGATGACCAAGTAATTGTTAATGCGGCTTTCCAGGGGTTTTTTAAAAATAATTTTTGTCTTCACTAAACCTACATGCATTGAGGACGTACAGTACATCATATTAAAGCTGTATCAGACAATGCTATATTTTCAAACGGTGTCAGATAAGTTACTTTTGATTGCTAAAGCATTTCTAGTAAGCATTTTGCAGCTGCACTTTGCCGTGGCCCACTTTTTCATCCATTGCACAGTTTCTCTAAGGAACAGCTCTCCCTGTTCCTGGATCCACCCCTAATGACACCATCAATATAATCCAGTAATCAGAAGCTGGAGTAAATGAGGTATGCCTGTTAACATCCTGGCATGCTTCTGAGAATCAAAATATTTTAAGTGGTTCTAAAGGAAGCAGGTTTATTTTACTTGCATTCTATGCATTAAGGTAAAAAACCTTCTTGGTGCAGCTTCAGCTCTTAGCCCCCCTTATACTTACCTGAGCCCCATCTTGCTCCAGTGATGTGCTTGAGAGCCACAGCTCTACTGGGTCTCTCTCTTCTCATTGGCTCACACAGCAGAGGGAGCTATTGGTGCCTGCTGCTGTCAATCACAGCCATTGAGCTAATGAGGAGAGAAAGGGTAGTGGAGCTGAGCTGCGCATAGTTTGTGAATAGACAATGTCAAGAGCGTGCCTGCTTGAGTGCCCCCATAGCAAGTTGGCTTGCTATTGGGGGGGGGGACTCGGCAGAGGGGAGGAGCTAGAATTGCTGGCGGGGGACCTAAAAAAAAGAGGATCAGGGCTGCTCGGTACAAATCCATTATAAAGAGCATGTAAGTGTAACATGTTTGTTATTTTTTTTTAATTCAACCTTTATAATCATTTTAAGGGTGTTATGGGACTTTTATGTGTGAGAAGTTTCTTTGCTGCTTCTATTCAGGAATGATAGACAGAAATTTTTTTTGGTAAACATAATCATGAACATTACCATGATTATTCAGTACAAAAGTGTTCCAAGGAGCAAAGTGCTAAGTAATAAAATGTATAAAAAGCTAATGAAATTATGAAATTAGTTTAAAGAGTTAGAGAAGCATTGGGTGTTGAGCGCCATGTCAAACTGCTTCCCCAGTAATTGAATGGTTTTGCATTATTGTTATCAAGAGTTATAGAGGGGAGTCCACACACACTCCAGAAAGGAATAGAACTAAAGGAATCAAGAGATACAGTGCATAAGATCCCATATTGTAACTGTACTGTGTGGCCTACCTCCATAAAGCACCATTGGAACACCCCAAAACGTAGGCTTCTATGTATGGAAGGAATATAAAGAAATCACTTCCATCTCTCACGAGGCAGCAGTGAATGACTGAACAGCAACCTGCAAAGGTTGGTTGTTGCCGTAAAGATATGCTGTTCCACCAAATGGATTTTGACAAAACTTTGGGATCTACTTATAAATCATTTGCTGTGTGAATGTCTCAGCATTCGCAAAACCATCACAAATAATCCATGTAATGTGTCTAATATGTTTATTTCCTATGATCATCAGCTCCATCTAGTCACCATAATATTTTTCTGAAATATCTAAATCAAGAAATATCACGTTATGGCCACTAGATGCAGCTGATGATCATAGAAAATAAACATACTGGAAACATAATATGGAGTATTTATGATGTCTAAATGCTGACTTTAATATAAATAGACCTCTTAGAATTTGCTTTATGTGATCTACAGAATACAAAAAGGGGTTGATTTACCAAAGGCAAATAGACAGTGCTCTTTGCCAGTGCAGTTGCTCCAGAGCTTAGTAAATGAGGGGAAGCTTCACTTTGTAAAGAAATACCCAATTATATGCAATGAAAATAAAACAAGACATTTTGCTTGCACATGATTGGATGATGGTAGTCAGCAGAGCTTTCCCTCATTTACTAATCTCTGGAGCAACTGTATTTGCAAAGTGAACAGTCTATTAGCCTTTGGTAAATCAACCCTAGAGAAGGGGCGGACTGACCATTTGGAAACTTGGGCACTGACCGAGGGCCCGGGGTCAGTAGGGGGCCCCATGAGATGCCCCTGGTACCTTTTTCATAGGCTTTTTTGAGTTTGGGCAAGGACACAGGGGCCCCATGATCCCCTTTTGCCCAGGGTCCCATGAGTTGTCAGTCCGCCCCTGCCCCAGAGTAATCTATTACTCAGAGAAGGATGCTAGATTTCAAATCAGTGCAATGTTTAAAAAAATCCTTCTTCTTCTGAGGATGAGGATGAGGATGAAGAAGAAGAAGAAGAAGAAGTAGGATGAAAATAAGAAGAATTCCAAGCCGGCAAAAAGTGTATCTGCAGAGCTCCGCTAAGTGTATCTGCAGAGCTCCGCTAAGTGTATCTGCAGAGCTCCGCTAAGTGTATCTGCAGAGCTCCGCTAAGAAATAGCGGAGCTCTGCAGATACACTTTTTGCCGGCTTGGAATTCTCCTTTCTTCTCATCCTTCTTCTTCTTCTCATTCTTCTTCTTCTTCTCATCCTTCTCCTTCTTCTCATCCTTCTTCTTCTTTTCATCCTTCTTCTTCTTCTCATCCTTCTCCTTCTTCTCATCCTTCTTCTTCTTCTCATCCTTCTTCTTCTTCTCATCCTTCTCCTTCTTCATCATCCTTCTTCTTCTTCTCATCCTTCTTCTTCTTCTCATCCTTCTTCTTCTTCTCATCCTTCTCCTTCTTCTCATCCTTCTTCTTCTTCTTCTCATCCTTCTTCTTCTTCTCATCCTTCTCATCCTTCTCCTTCTCCTTCTTCTCATCCTTCTCCTTCTCCTTCTTCTCATCCTTCTCCTTCTCCTTCTCCTTCTTCTCATCCTTCTCCTTCTTCTCATCCTTCTCCTTCTTCTCATCCTTCTCCTTCTCCTTCTTCTCATCCTTCTCCTTCTCCTTCTCCTTCCTCATCTCCAAGGGCATTTAAATTAAAGGTACAGTGTTCTGCACTAATTTAAAGGCTCTCTGAAGCCTAGAAACCCTTTTTATAAGTTAAATTCGTAGCGAATAAATTCGCATCGAATCGAATTTCTCCCGCAAATTCGGCGAATCAGCCGAATCGAATTTTTGAATAATTCGCTCATCTCTAGTCAAGAATAATTGTTGTTTGTACTGTTATTACAATGCTGCTGTTATAAAATGAAAGTTTATGCTGTGGCCAGAGATTTCATGTAACCTCTTTACGTCTAAGGGTAAAACAAATGTTAATGCCTAACCACAGTTTTGCAACTTTGACATGTGTTAGTAAAACCGTACCCACTATATCATCACAACTTCTTTGTGCATCCAGGTGGATTATACCTTGTTTTTTTTTTCAGGACAAATTAGGCTTTCATTTGGGGGTGAATGATAATGGATATCTCCCAAAATATTAAAAAAAATCATTTTTTTTTTAAATGTAGCTGTATATTTCTTGCTACTAACATGACCTACCACCAAAGAACAACCCAAAATAAATGATCCTGCCTGATAATAGCAATGATACCACATGTGTGTATGTTAGTTGTGTGTAACTGTAGTACAGCTCAGAAACAATAGTGTGCATTTTGATTTTTTTTTTTTATCCTACCTAAAACACACTGACACTGATACTGCAAAGAGAGAGAAATACAATGGGGTTGATTTACTAAAGGCAGTAGATTGTGCACTTTGCAAAGTGCAGTTGCCCCAGAACTGAGTAAATGAGCAGATGCTCTCCTGACTTCTATCATCCAATCACATTTAAGCAAAAAATGCTTTTTTTTTATTTTATTTCCCTTGCACGTGATTGGATATTCTTTACAATGTGAAGCTTTGCCTCATTTATTAAGCTCTGGAGCAACTGCACTTGCGGAATGCAATTGCACTTTGCAAAGTGCAAGGTCTATTTTCTTTTAGTAAATCAATCCCTAGGTATCTCTCTCATCCATTTGGAAAGAGAGGAAACATGGGGGTGGGCTTCACAGTGACTAATCACTGTGATAGCCAATCAGAAGCTATCACAGTGATCAGGTGACCCCGAAACCAGGAGTTCCAGGTCCCAATCGTTAGTACGGGACAGGGGCTCCTGTCGAGACCCTGTTCTCTATGCTGGGACAAAGATAGATATGTATGTGGTCCCATGGAAAAAAAGCCCAATCCAGTGGGGCAAAATATATGCATGCGCTCAGCGTGAAGGGGTTAAGGATAGAGATCCTTGTTGAGCTCAGTCTGTCCTTTCTGGTGGACCTCCTGGTACCAACCTTGTCTCTGACTAAGCTGCTGTTCAGCCCTTTGGACTGGCAGGTTTAAACCTTGATTTGACCTTCCTTTTCTGATCCTTCTTGCTTAATCTGAATTTCTGTTACTGTCTTTGTTTTTTTCAGACTTTCTCTGTCTAGTCTGTGTTTGGATACCCCAATATGGTGCTGGCACATAAAGTCGTGGAACGGTGGTACTTTAGGTGGTAAGTGCTGGAGAACCATCATTCCTAAACGTGGTTGCCCTTTATAACATCCTTACTGTAATTTAGTGAACACTAAAGCCTTGATAATGAAATACATTTTCTGTTTTCATGCATCCCACATTTTCAGAAATGTTTGCTCCTGTAGATACTTCTTCCTTCTCATCAACGTGTCATAGTAAAGTGGGTCTGAACCATGAAAGAAAACCTTTCTGCCATGAAGCAGTACAAGCTTTTGGCACTTTTGTATGCAGAACTGTACTGTCAGCATGTTGTAGTGAAGGGGGTGGGAACACACACATAACTGTCAAGGATATCAGAGGCTAAGTTGCAAATGAACTGCTCTTTAATTGTACAAAAAAAAGGTACCAATGTAATTTATATTTACTGATTTTACAGTGTCTCATTTTAAGCCAATACCCTTCTCTTTAATTAGACTGCAGGGTTTTTCCTACTGTTATAATTGATCAATATTACTTTTAAAGCTTAAAATGAATAAGTCATTTATGTATATAAATCGCCCTTCCTTATACAACAAATCTAGTCTTTTTAGAAATGGAAAGTATTTCCAAGTTCCATTTCTGCTGCAATAACTGTCACAGTCACTAATCCCTCATCTATCTGTTATCATTCATAGTTCACCTTGGCATAGCTTTTCCAAAAAAAGAATAAATCCCAGCGTCTATGTAAAGACAGTCACCTAATTGTACAGCCAAGCAGAAGAAAGCCTTGCAAATGGTATACAATTTTCAAAGTGTTCCAAGCCTTAGGCAAAAGTCTTTCAACTGTGTCTAAAACTGAATGATAAAATATGTTGTACAAATTATCTGTGAACAGGAAACATGTGGAAATGGCAGGGGACTGAAATGTAACACTTGTAAAGAAATGGGAACTGCCAGTCATAGAAACCCCTCATACTTTTGTCTCTCTTGCAAGCTCCTTTTTTTCCCCCTCCATTCTCCCCAGAGTCTGATAACCAGATTTATCAGGCTGCTTTCCGCGGCCTTTCATTTCCAATTACATCTAAATGCGGTTACAAAATAAATAAATAAACCATGCAAATCAAATATATATTCTTCTTTGGGAGTTTGTTTAGTGTTTTTGTATGGTTGGCAATAATTACAAATATTGTTTACCGTAGGGTGGCGATGGCAACTTGTGATGACCGCAATATATATTGAAGACAATGTGGTCCTAGTCGAAGAACACAGATTATAAAAGACAACACCGCAATAAATATATTACTGTTGAAAAGTTAGGCAATTATTTATCCTTTTGCAAAGAAAAAGAAAGTGTTGTCAAACTAATTATGCAGAATGAACAACTTGCTTAATGTCATCAATACGTTCATAAGCTTCTTTGCCCATCTTTCATTATTCTTTTTAATGTCATAAAGACTTTGTTTACACGAGTAGGGATTCAGCTGCCTGTGAGACTTCTAATCACTTAGTTGTATGAAATAAATCCTTTGCTGCTAACAACGCCTAGTTGTAAGCATTGCAAGTAAAGAGTAATGCCAGGCAACTAATCAGTTAAAAATCTCATATGTACTTCATTTCTGCACGTTAGATTTAATACAAAATTAGTCGGCTTTTTCAGTGTACTGGTTCGTGGTAAAGGCAAAATGTAAAGTGCAGTACCCCCTGGTAACTATATTCACCTCCAACAGGTCTCTTTCTTATATTCTGTCTAATCTCTTCAGTCCCTTTTTATCTGTCTTATTTCTATAGGCTCAATTCACAAAGCTTCAGCCCCAGCCAAAGCCATGTGATTGTAATTTTTACATTTAATTGTCCTCAGCTGAAAATAACTGTCACTTTATGTTTAAAATAAGGATATGTATGCTGGTGTGTGAGGCTCCATGTACACGGGACGTTTGGAAAACACTTCTGAAAGATGGAAGCTGACTGCTGGAAAACGTAGGTTAAAAAATGTCTGTTTAGCTGCGTTTGCATACCGTGTTTATGCTCGTTTATGAGCGTTTGCGTTTACAAGCGTTTTTTTAGGATAACCTCAGGAGACCTTCCCAAATGCCCAGAATGCACTGAAAAACAAAAAATTAACTATTTCAGACATTTTGAGAGAAATAGAGCGAGCAGAAGCAGAGAGAGCAGTATGTGTTGAGATTACCTATCTTTTCTGGTTGTATTCACTATGGATCCCATCATGAGCATAATGCGGCACATTCTACCATTTTTTCCTTCACGCAAAACCTGGAACTGACTGCGCTTTGCATGCATTTCTGATGATGAAAAAAGGCTCTGGACAGCATCTGGATATGGAAAAGTTAAAAAATGCTTCTAAATGCTAACGCTTCTAAATGTGGTTAGCCACGTTTACACGTGTTCACAAGATTTTGGCATTTGAAACGCTGCTAAAATCTACTCCTGAACGCAAGTTTGGTGCGCTAAAAAAAACCCACTGTAAACTCAACTGCCTTTAAAATACTGTAAATGACATAGTGTACATGGACACATAGGAAAACATTAGGGAGAGTTCAGGGGCTGCTGAAAAAAAACAGGAAAAGCACCTGAACGTCAGTTTATCAGCTGCAGTGTACATGAACCCTTAGGTTTGAGAACTGAGCTCCCATGGCTTGCCTGACTTAATCTAATTATCATACATTGCTTACTTATCTATATGTAAAGTCATGTTACCTGCAAGCCCATAGATTTGCTGGACCACATACAGTATGTCTCAGTGTTATTGTT